TGGGATGATTATAATTAAAAGAATTAATAAAAACTGTTAGTTTTTTTGCCGGGCAGTAGTGGCGCACACCTTTAATCCCAGCACTTGGGAGGCAGATGCAAGCGGATTTCTAAGTTTGAGGCCAACCTGGTCTACATGAGTTCCAGGACAGATGGTTGTGAGCCACCATGTGGTTGCTGGGAATTGAACTCAGAACCTCTGGAAGAGCAGTCAGTGCTCTTAACCACTGAGCCATCTCTTCAGCTCCAAGGGAAGCTACTGTCTTGATGGTGTTACTTTTCAGCTCCATATGGATTCCCTAGGTTCTCAAGCCCTAAAAGGGCATTTAACCACCATTTTGTGGTATTCTGACTTTGCAAACATGTTTTTCAGACTTATAAATGACTAATTTGAAAATGCAAATAGAACCCAATAATTTGGCAGTTGGATGCTACATAGAAACACACATGAGCTGTAAAGCCAACCATAGCAAATCTCGCATTGAGTAGAATCTTCCTGACCTAAGTTGGTGTAACTCTGTAGAAAGACACTGCACTGACTGTAATCTGACATGAGCTCACCTCACCATCCTCCTCCTGTTCCACATTCATCCCATATTATCAATACCTGTGCTATATCTTCTTTTATGACTAAGTTCTGGAAGATTCTGCCTTCTGTGTACTTTTGTTCTTTTTTGGGGAACAGGAGATGTTCTCCTGTCGCTAATTCCCAGGCTTATGTTATGATCCCCCACCTTCAGCCTTCTAATTAGTTACTGTGTGTACCAACACTACACATGCGGTGGATGTAAGAGGACAGCTTGTGGGAGGCTGTTCCCTCCTATATGGGACCTACACATAAAACAGGTCACCGGGCTTGAGGGCGGGCGCCTTTCCCCACTTAGCCATCTTGCCAGCCCACCCATACCTTTCTTAGGTAACCCTGTATTACACCCATAGCCAGAAGTCACTTAATAAGCTTCAGCAAACCCTGAGAGAAGCATTGTTCTTAAGGGAAACTTATTTGGCCTAAGCTGGCCAAGTACTCACTGTGTAGCTGAGGGTAGCCTGAAGCAGGCGATCCTCTTCCTTAGCTTCCTGAGTGCTGGAAGTATATGTTTCATACAGATTTTCCTTATATAGGCCAAAGTAGCCTACAACTCATAATTCTACACACGATCAGCAACTCCTCCACCCTAAGTGCTAGGATTATAGACCTGTGCTGCAGTCCTGAATCCTCCTCTAGTTTCTTTGTGATCCATGGCATTAGGGTGAAGGCAGATGAACCCATCCTGTAACCACTCAGGCAGACAGGCTGCTGGGGTGTGTGGGGAGTCAAGGCTGCATATTGTGTTGTAGAGGCAGAGAAGAAGCGGGAGGCCAAGCAGCAGGCTAAGGAAGCCAAGGAGCGCGAGCTGCGGAAGCGGGAGAAGGCGGAGGAGAAGGAGCGTCGGCGGAAGGAGTATGATGCGCAGAAAGCTTCCAAGCGGGAGCAAGAGAAGAAGCCCAAGAAGGAAGCAAATCAGGCCCCAAGTAAGTTTGCTTGCCATTGTCAGGGTGCAGCAGGAGTGGAGTGATGGTCTGTGTCTCTGTGCCCATTGATCCTTGCCTTGAGCAAGTGACTCATGTCACCGCTGCTTGTTTGTTGAAGGTGGGGTTAGATCTGTATGGCAGGTGAAGAATAAGTGAGAAAACCCTCATAGCTCTTGCCTAAAGTGGGCGTGGAGGTACTAGTGAGATAGAGGGAGGAAGGCCACTGCCAGCTTGGTCTACATGTCAGATTCCAGGACAGCTGGAGAGACATAGTAAGACCCTGTTTCTAAAACAAACAAAACCCAATTCCCTTTGCCTTTTTCAACCTAAAAATGTCAAGTTTTTGTCATTATAAATGTAATGTGGGAAGCTGGGCATGTGACATATTTGTAACCTTGAAGTAGAGGCAGGAGGGATAAATTTGAGGTCAGGAGCTGGAGAGATGGTTCAGAGGTTGAGAGCATTAACTACTCTTCCAGAGGTCCCGAGTTCAGTTCCCAGCAACCACATGGTAGCTCACAACCATCTATGATGAGATCTGGTACCCTCTTCTGACATGTAGACATATGTGAACAGAACACTGCGTACATGATAAATTGAGGCCAGGCTCTGGGCTGTAGTGAGAACCTGTCTCAAAAAGAAAAAAAAAAGAGAAGAGGGAAATTAAAGTATGTTCATCACAGGAGAAAGAGAGACAGACAGACAGGCACACATACACATACAGAGAGAGAGAGAGACAGAGAGAGAGAGAGAGAAGGTGAGAGAGAAAGAGAGAAACTAACCTTAGAAAACAGCAGTCACCTATGATTTTGTTTGTCACTGGTTGCATTTATAATATGTGTGTCTTAGCCTGAGTTTGTTTTTTGAGAACAGGTCTTGCCGGGTGGTGGTGGCGCACGCCTTTAATCCCAGCACTTGGGAGGCTGAGGCAGGTGGATTTCTGAGGCCAGCCTGGTCTACAGAGTGAGTTCCAGGACAGCCAGGACTACACAGAGAAACCCTGTCTCGAAAAAAAAAAGAGAGAAAACAGGTCTTGAACTGTAGCCTAGGCTAGCTTTCAGTTTGCGATCCTCTTGCCTGAACCTCCAGAGTGTTGGGATTATAGGCATGAGCTACCATAACTGGCAGGTCTTTTCTTTTTTTAGAGACTTGCATTATTTTGCTGAAGACTTTGTGTATACATCCCACTCCCAGCCCCCTTTGGAGACAGCTGCAGACTGTCCTCAGACTTCCTGTGTAGGCTCCCAAATGTTAGGATTACAGACCTGTGCCACCATACCTAGTTTATACATATTATATAATAGTGACATTTGTGATATTGGTAATGTGGACCCATCTCCCCAAGTGGGTGGCAATCTATCCCTTTTGGACACTCCTGATGAACACCTCCTGTGATTCTGAAGATCCCAAATCATCTCCCTGTTACCAAAGAGAATGGAAGACCCTGAGGACTGAGCTACAAGACAAAAGCAGAATGAACTCCCCCACACCCCCCACCGCCCGCCCCCCCCCCTTTTTTTTTTTTTTTTTTTTTGGTTTATCCAAACAGGGTTTTTTTTATATCTCCCTGGCTGTCCTGGAACTCACTTTGTATACCAGGCTGGCTTTGAACTCAGAGATCTACTTACATTTGCTTCCCAAGTGCTGAGATTAAAGGCATGTACCTATGCTACCACCACCACTACCGCCCAGCCAAAATCCCATTTTCAAATGTAGTCCTTGGAGACCGTGGGGAAGACTGTTTCTATTTCTGAATAGGAGAGGATTTAGCTCTCATTTAGATGTTCCTAAATTGTCTGCTCAGGGCTTGAGAAGGAAGTGAATCTGCTTGGTCTGACTGTACAACTGGTCTCCACAAATTGACGTATTCTGTCCCTCCAGAATCAAAGTCTGGCTCTCGCCCTCGCAAGCCACCACCCCGAAAACATACTCGCTCCTGGGCTGTGGTGAAGGTGTTGCTGCTGCTGCTGCTGCTGTGTGTAGCAGGAGGGCTGGTTGTATGCCGGGTGACAGGGTTGCAGCAGCAGCCCCTCTGCACCAGCGTGAACACCATCTACGACAATGCCGTCCAGGGCCTGCGTCATCATGAGATCCTCCAGTGGGTCCTCCAGACCGACTCCCAGCAGTGAGCCCATCCTCAGCACCCGCTGCCTCCCAGCCTTGGAGCTTGGATTCCTATGGAATTGGGTTCTGCTGGACACAACCTCTTTTTAGCGTCAGACCTACCTGCCATCATCAAATGGCTGCTGATTGGTACTTGAGATCTCCCCTTTGTAGGACTTCTCTGTTCCTTAGTCAGGGTTCCCTGGTGGAATGAGGAGAAATGGAGAGGGGGGAGGAAGAGTTACCTGCATGCCTAAAGGAATAGGCTTAGGGGTGGGGAGAGAGAAGGTATAGGCTTTTCTAGTTACACAAAGCTGTGTAAGGCAAGGTTCCTTTCTACTAAATGGTCAGCTGTCACTACATTTATACTTTTGTATGTCACAAACCCTTTCTTTCATTCTTCCCTGGGTAACCAGGACAGATCGATCAGGGGCAGTGTGTTATTGGGGACTAGGGGACTAGGAATACTTAGGTAAATCCAGCCTAAGCTGGGAGCGTGAAGTAATACATTTCCTTAAAGATCTCAGTCAGTCAAACATTTTAGCAGTGTCCAAAATGTCTGGCTGTGAACTATGTTCACTGCCATTTGGTCCAGTGTAACACTTTGAGGCAGGGGGTGCCATCCATGACTTCTTGCCCACAGTGTTCAAGCTAGTCTAAGGCACAACCCAGCTCTCATTCTAGTTTTCTTCCTTTCTTTCATGTCATTTGGCCTCCTTTATAATACCCAAGAGGATGAGGTCACTGGAGTTTCTCAGCTAACTCGAATCTCTCATAATCGACAGTCTTACCACCCACAAACAGACTTCAAACCATCAGGGTCCTGGGAAACTAACTTCTGTGGAATTTTGCCTCAACTTAAGTGGCTTCCACAAAATGGCAGCAGGCCGGGCTCCTTGCCTCAGTTTCAGAGCATTAACTCCCTGGTGGCCTGGAAGCAGAGCAGATCTCTGCACAGCCGCACCGTGACTGCTCTACTAGCACTTGGTGTGATGAAATACCTCAAAGGCAGCCTAGAAACTTGACTTTACAGAAGCAGGTTTAGAGTTGATCCTGGACCTGTAACAGAAGGGAAGGAAGGAATAGAACAGTGGGAGCCAAAGGGAATCAGTCACGGTGGCGCTGCAGTGATACATAACTAAACATTAGCACAAACCAGGGCAGCACTGCCCACCTCCCTGCTGCTCAAGAAAGCATTCTCCCCTTGCCCTGTCTCTTCACAACAGCTGCATGAAGGGATCAGAAACAACTGTGTCTCGGTGCTTATTTGCTAAAAACTCCCAGTTGCAAGCTCTTCCCTAGAGGAGCAAGGACCTGTCTTAGTTCAGACAGTGTAGCCCTAGTGGCCCATCTGGATAGGTCTGCCACTCAAAACTGTCCTGACACTGGAAGAAAGGCCTTTGTTTTTTCCTCCCCAGATAGTTCTGCCACGTAGGTCCACACCTTGCTCAGCATCACTACACATTCCTTTAGTCTTCCTCCAAGCTCCAGAGCCATTGGTACAAATGCTTTATTGAGACAAAATACATACTACATATGGTGACATCATGAAAACAGAAGTCAGCCTCGTCATAGTTCTCTGGCTGGTTGAGGCAGCTCAGTGGCTGGGCATAGTCGAGCCAACCCGCAGGCAAGAGTTCACTCTGACTTCGAGATTTGATGCTTATTTCTTGGATTTCTACAATTATTAAATCCGTGTCTGAGTGGTCTGCCTTTCTCCTGTGTGCTGTGAGGGTCAACTGGGACGGGGTGGGATGGCTGTCAATGGCATACCAGTGCTTGCTGGGAGAGGAACAGTAAATGCTGGTGGAGGTAGTTTCAAGTGTCTCAGCCTTCTCTGTTCCCAGAGCTGGGAGACTTGCTCCCTAGCTGTACCTAGGAGGTACTTCCGGCCCCTCTGCTGTCAGGTACCATGCTGCCCTGCCAAGGTGAGATATCAGTCAACACTGTCTAAGATGAGATCTGGTTGCACTGTAGTCATTTGAAGGTAGATCCGCCTGGATAATTCTGGCCCAACATGGCGGGAGGTGGCTGTCACACCTTCCCCACGTCGCACCTGTATGTCAGCCAGCAGATTCTGGCGTTCTTGCTCAGAAAAACACCGCTGATAAGCCTGGAAACCATAAATGGCCTCTTAATACCATACCACCCATCCGTGGCCATCCCTTGGTTAGGGTGGCAGATACAGGATAGGGTAGAAAGGTCAAGTTCAGGCAGGAAAACCTGTCCTTTCTCAGGCCAGCCAACCCACACTGCTGACCTATATTCTTGGCCCCTCATCCTCAAGGATGTCTGGAGGGCAAGGTCACCCATAGCAGCATACCTGCACCAGGAGCTGTGGTGAGGGATAGGCATCCACAATAGCACTGGCCATTTCTGAGCTGACTCGGTTCAGCTGCTGAATCTGCTGCCTCCAGATCAGTGCAAGTCCCCTACCAGACCGATCCACTTTGATCCCTCCAGCCCAGTCTTTCTCCAGGAAGAAGGAAAAGTTGGCTTGATCCCGGAGCTTCCTGAAAGAGCATTGGGCCAGTCTGAGTCTCTTTGTTCTCAAGCAGTTTTGGTCGCAGGTTCCTTTACACATTGCATTTAGTGGAGCTGGAGAGATGATGGTTCAGCAGTTAAGAGCCCTGACTGCTCTCTAGAGTACCAGATTTGATGCCAGCACTCACTACCACCTTGCTCCATTTTCAGAGGATCTGATGCCCTCTTCTGCCCTCAGGCACTGCACACACATTGTGCACAGACACATGCAGGTGAAACACCCAAACACGAAAAGAAGAAAATAAAATTGCATGGGGCCTGAGGGCATAATTGAGTAGGTACAGTGCTTGGTGCATCTATAACTCTAGCCTACGGTGAGATGGGATGTGGAGACAGGATCTCTGGAAACAGGCCAATTATTCCTACATAAGCAGTGGCAAAGCCTGCATCCTCCAGTAAGGACCTGCACCCAGAGTTATTGTCTATATTCTCACAGGTGTACATACACACACAAAAAAGGTTAAAAACAACCCCTTCATCTAGTCCTTTTTATTAGAGAAGGTATTGATGTCATCTCGTGTGTGTGTGTGTGTGTGTGTGTGTGTGTGTGTGTGTGTGTGTTTAGCCAATTTGAAATCTATTTCAGGTTCTCACTTGCTGGGAGCTTAAAACAACTCAATCTCAGGTCTTAGTTCCTTCAATATAAAATAAAACAGGTTTCCTCTGAGGTCCCTTAGTTTTTAATTCTGACTAGGTTCACTGAAAATTTGATCTGAGTGAATTCTGGTAATAGCATCAACTTATAGAATATACTTGCATCTGCATTAAAGAAAATATTTTTATAAAGGGTTGGATTAGAGACCTTTTTTTTTTAAAGGTTTATTTTCATTTTAATGTTATGTATACGAATGTTTGCCTTCATGTATATATGTGCATCACTTTTGACCTCACAGGCCAGCAGAGGGTGTTAAGCCCTTAAAAATGAAGTTACCGACAGTTGTGAACTACCATGTGGGTGCCAGGAACAGTTTGAGTTCTGTGCAAGAGCAGCAAGTATTCTTAACAACTGACCCATCTCTCCAGCCCCCTAGATTTGAGGCTCTTGCTCTGAATCTCCAGCATAAGATTGGTTTCTGCCTCAAAAGACACACTGGGCTGGTGGCAGAGTTTAGGAGAACAGCACATTTTTTTTTCTGGCAGCAAGAAGCAAGGGAAAAGCAAGACCTGGTGTGAAGGGAGACTTGGCAAGTTACTCACTTGAAGGGTGCTTCAGCCACAGCCTTTGTAAATGCACACGCAAAGTCAGCCAGCTCTTTCCAGCTCTGCACGACCCGAGCCTGGGCTTCTGTATATAGCTGCAGATCCACCAGTGCCTAGAAACCCAAAGGCAACAATGGACTGACTGCAAGAATGGCTGGACTGTTTGGAAGTCATCTCGATGATTACTGAAGCTCCTATACCTCTTGACTCCATTCACCCAGTTTTCTTACTCAGTCCAAGGCAGACAGCAGTACTAGTGAGCCTTTTATTCCGTCTCAGAGACCTACCTAGATAACCAGTGACACTCACCTGAGCAGGGCTATAGGAACTTCTTACCTCTTCCATGTCTACCCTGGACACCATGAGCCTTGTGCTAGACTCTTGTCTCTGCTGATGCTTCCCTTTGGCCTGTTTATTTGCCATTCCTGATTTCCTTCTCTGGGGATTCTGAGCCCTGGAGCAAAGGGGGAAATCAGAAGAAAAGCCCCAAACTGAGCCCAGGCAGAAGTGTTGCAGGACAACTGACCAGCATATCCCATTGCTTGTCAGGGACACCATCTTGCAAAATGCCTTGTAGCCAAGGGGAATAATCTTCCCCCTTGAAAACCCATGAGCTGTCCCTTTAAGACCTCTATCTTTAGGGCACATCCATACCTGAAGCATTTCTCCTGGTCCACAATTACCAGTGACAATGCTTTGCCTGTCCTTGCTGTGATATCAGTTACAAAGCCCCGAAGTGTCTCCTTTCCTTTCTCAGTGCTGCCAGGACTTCCCTGCATGAAGTGGCAGAAAGGGCATTAACATTGGCTCCTCAGGTAGAGGCTGGCACCATTCCATGCCTGACCCCGCACACCTGCTTTAAGTTGTAGACCATGGACATGAAGACCTCTGCCAGGACCAACACCAGGATTGTTGGCTCTTCCACCCAGTCATCTCCATCCTCTACCAGCTCTGTCCTCCTCCTCCAAGTGATACTTCGAGGTACGGCCTGAGCTTCAATCACGCAGCTGCACTCCATGGCCTGCAGTGCTCCCAGGAGCTGGCCCCCACCTTCCATCTGTAAAAGCACTGCTACTGCTCCCGCCACTCTTTGAATTGTACGCAGGACCCGGAAGTAGATCGATCCCGGTAGCGGAAGCAGACTTTCCAGCCTGGAAGTGAATGTGAAGCAAACATGGCGGCGGCGCTTACGCTGAGGACGCGGGCAGCAGGTAGCTCAGCACTGTGGCTGTTTTGGGGTGAAACATTAGAGAGGCTGGGAGATGGAAACTGGAGCCCATGGTGGACACTAGATACGGGGAGGCAGTGTGGGGCTCGGGACCTTTGGAAGTCAACTGTCTCCGATCACGTGACACGTGGTGGGCGGTGCTGTGCGGAGGGTGGTAGTGCAGGATGGAAGCCTGTTGGTGGATAGTTACTCCAGACGCCTTGTCCCCTCTGGGTTTATGTGACTCCCTTCATATATGAAAACTAAGTTCAAAAAATTTAATCGAGTAATTCAGGATTTAGCTTTTTTCCTTTCCTCACTTTTTGTTTTGTTTTTGTTTCTTTGAGACAGGGTTTCTCTGTGTAGCCCTGACTGTCCTGGAACTCACTCTGTAGACCAGGCTGGCCTCGAACTCAGAAATCCACCTGCCTCTGCCTCCCAAGTGCTGCTTTCCTCACTTTCTCACTGTGTAGTTTGCCGTCTTAGTGCTGATATTTCAGGTGTCTATGACCATGACCAACGCTTGGGTCTGATGTGATACTGCTCAAAGTATCAGCATACACTTGATTTCTAACACCTTGTAAGTTCAGCCAATAAACACGTGAGTAACTTAGTTGTAATCATGAATAGTGTTCTCTTAGATTAGGGTATCAAGGAAGTCTCCTTGAAGAGATAACAGTTAAGACCTAAAAGAGACAGACCCAACCAACCCTGTGTAGACAGAGGCAAGAAAGTGACTTGATCCAGTTTTACATTTTGAGGAGCCAATTAAGAGGAGGCAGGCTGGTGTAAATAAATAAATGAGAATGAAACCAGGTGGGACCAGGAATGGTGGTACCTGTAATCCCTGCACTTAAGAGCCTGAGGCAGGAGGATTGTGTCAGACCCAAGGCCAGTCTGGGTCACAGTCTCAAAAGCTATAAATAAATATAATTAATTAACCTACACAGAAAACCATCTGAAAAGCTTGATGTAGGATAATTTAGCCAAGATATTAGAGGTGATGGTAGAGAACCTGGAGGGTAGTGGGTGAATGTGACATCTGTTTGTTCTGAAGATAGATTCCACAAGTCTTACTGTTCTGTACAATGAGGGAAGAAAAGTAATCTGTAGATTCTTGTTTTTCACAAGAGCAAACATTTATGAATGAAATAATGTAGGCAAAGCAAAATGCCAGTCACCAGTAAGTCAGTGAATGAAGCCAGGAAGTGCATGTCTGTAACCTCAGGTTATAAGTGAGGTATAGACCTGAGGATTGCAAGTTCAAGGCCTGTGTGGGCTATGGGAGGGGGGGGGGATTCAAGTTAGGAAGATTTCCTTCCACTGCTGGACATTGAACATGTCTCCATAAGGTTTTTTTTTTGTTTGTTTGTTTGTTTGTGTGATGTTTGTTTTGAGACACTGTATCACTATGTAGTCCTGGCTGTCTGAGAACTCACCCTGTAGACCAGACTGGCCTTCATGCCACAGAGATATGCCTGCCTCTGCCTCCCAAGTGGTGGGATCAAAAGCTGGTGTGTGCTACCATACCCTGCTTATCTCTAGTCTTATATCCCAGTAACTTTCTGTTGTCATGGGAATTTGAGAAACCTAAGTAGCCAGTACTATGAGCTTATGTTCCAAATACCCGTAAAGCATCTCTGAATGTGCTGACACTATCCTAAGATCCTATAACTCTGTTTAGAGACCTAAGACAGCCAACTGCTCATGTTAGCCTGAATTTTATTTTATGCGTATGAATGTTTTGCCTGTGTGTATATATGCATATCACACGTCATACTTGGTACCAGCAGAGGTAAGAAAAGGCCATTGGATCCCCTGGAAGTGGAGTTACAGATGGCTGTGAACCACTACAAAAGCGCTAGAAACTGAACCGTGATCCTCCGCACGAGCCACTGCTGCTAACCTCTGAGCCATCTCTCAGGCCCCATTAGTGTGCACTTTATAACTCTGTTTTTAAAGTATTTGCATTTGATCTTTGAGGATTCCACGTATGTATTCGGTGTATTTTGATCATCTCTATCCCCTTCAATGTCTCCCACATCATGAATCCTTTTAAAATACATGTTGTTGAGTCCTTTGGGATGATGAGCAGAGAGGTCAGATTAATGCTGATCTTGGTTGGACATCTGCTTATGGGCTCTGGGAAGAAAAGTCCTTTGTGAAATGGCTAGTTTCCTGAGGGAGCCACCTTCTGATGGGTGAGTGGCTAGCTAAGACACTGGTAACTGAGGCTGAAGCAGAAGCCCTGCATGCCTCGTAGTCTTGGGTGGAAACTGTGAATCTTTGAAGCAGGCTGCTGTCTGGTGTCCACTTCATCTGGTTCTGTGCTGTTTGTTTCTGCTCAGCTGGACTGAATGTGTCAGGAGCCAGAGCACAGGCTGTTTTCTCCTCCTGTTTATGCTCACTGCCTGCTCTCCCTGATATACACACCACCGCCACTCCCACCACCACCCCACCTCCCCATACCATGCTTACCTCTGGGCCAATTTCAGGGATGAATTGCTCCCTGCCCAGGCATTCCCTGAACACCGCACACTTAGCATTTCTGTTCCTTTCACACATCTTTCATTTTTTTCTCATCTCCCTTGCTGCTTCTCAGCTTAGCAAATGGTCCATAGAGACAAAGAAAGTGCGCCGTATTTGGGAGCCTCTCTGAGCAGTGCTTCTGCTTTCTCTGCAGTGACAGCCCTGCTGAGTCCCACAGCACCGACGGCACTTGCTGTCAGACACGCATCCAAGAAGACAGGTGGCAGCTCTAAGAACCTTGGTGGGAAGTCACGAGGCAAACACTATGGCATCAAGAAAATGGAAGGTGAGGGTGTGCCTTTGCTTCTGTTTTCCAGCCGCATTCTACAGCGCTGCTTTGCCCTTTCTTAGAAGAGCTGCAATGCCACTTAGGCGCCTCACTCACCTGTATCTCCGCAGTTCACTGTAGCACTTGTCCCCACAGTAAAGGGGTAGGTGAGACCCAGGGAGGAGCAGGGGCCCCAGTGAATTGCAGTTTCTTAGTCATGCAACCAAAAAAGAATCTGCTGGGTGGGGTCAGGCGCTATTTATGTAGGACCGTCTCAGAGGTCCATCCAGAAGCAGGCTAGGGGGTTCGTGGGGACCCTTGGGCTGTCACGACTTCTCAGCATTTTGCTGGGCTTCTGTGAATACTGGCGCAGAGTCGGCTCACTGTGGACTTCTCTTCTAGGTCACTACGTTCATGCTGGCAACATCCTTGGCACCCAACGTCAGTTTAGATGGCACCCAGGCGCCCATGTGAGTTGCTCTGTTCCCTCTCCCCTTTTCTTGTCTTTCCTAGGGCAACCTTTTCATGCGCATGTCTTGTCACTGTGAGGTAGATGTCATCTCTGTTTTATGGTTGAAATGCCAGAGGCTCAGAGAGTAGTGCAACCCTATTTAAAGCTGAAATTGCCTACCATCAGATCATAGCATGCCCTGGTCTCATTTTTCTCCTCCATAGAAAATGAAAGAAAGTTAAATCAAATGATGTATGAGCACTTGCAGCTGCCTGAGGACGTAGAAATAATATGGTTTAAATATAGTTATCTTCTGAAAGTGCCGGACTTCTTACAGATACATATGTCTTTCGGGTTTTTTTTTTTTTTATCAATTTTTAATTTTAATAGACATTTCCCCTTTTATGACTCCAAAGGAAGAAATATTTTTATTTAGCCAGAATTAGATTCAATGAATACTTTTCCTTCCCTTAAAAACAACATCAAATGGGCATGGTGGGGTACACCTTTATTCCCAGCACTTGGGGAGGCAGGGGCAGGCAGATCTCTGCACAGCCTGGTCTACAGAGCAAGTTTCAGGACAGCCAGGGCTATACAGAGAAACCCTGTCTCAAAAGACCAAAAGAAAGAAAGAAAGAAAGAAATTAGAGGGGCACGGAGAAAGCTCAACAGTTAAAACCACCTGGGTTCAATTCCTAGCACCCACATACTAACTTATAACCATCTGTAACTCCAGTTCTAGGGATCTAACACCCACTTCTGTCTTTGATGGTAACAGACATGCAAGTGGTACACGGACATGCATTCAGGCAAAACACCTGTGTACATAAAATTCAAATTGTAAACATCAAAGACAAGTATAGTGGTGCATGCGTTTAAACACAGCACTTGTGAGGCAGAGGCAGGTAGATTTCTGAGTTTGAGGCCAGCCTGGTCTACAGAGTGGTCCTGGTCTCCAGGACAGCCAGAACTACACAGAGAAACCCTGTCTCAAAAAACAAACAAACAAACAAAAAAAGAGTGTTGGATTGTTCGGAGCTGGAGCTACAGGCAGTTGTGAGCTGCTGTGTAGGTGCTGGGAACTCACTTGGGTCCTCTGGAAGAGCAGCAAGTTTTCTAGCCACACAGTCACTTCTCCAAGCCCTCAAGTTTTACCATACATCTAATTTCAAGTTGTAAAAGAAAAAAAAAGTATAGGCAATTTTAAAATCTGTATTAAATATACTATTTATTACAGTACTTAACTATATTATCATCGAAATAGGGCAGGAACTATATCTGTCTAATGCACAGAGAAATGAGTTCTCTGTGTAAGCTATGAAAGAGTACTTAACTCAGGACTCAACTGTGAGTAGGCGCTGTGCATCAGTGTTCTGGGACGTCTTTATTGTTGTACATACATATGCTAGTACCCATACAACCTTGGTCTGTATTTTCTATGGAACCTAAACTTTGTAAGTGTAAGCAAAGCCTGCTGCTGTCAGGAGCAGTGATTTGTGGCACCTTTGTGTGAGCCTGGCTTGAGGATCTGTCCACTGTGGCTTCTGAGCAGCTGTGTTGATGTTACTGCTGTTAGCAGTCTAGGGTGGGTTTCTTTTCCCTCCTCTCTTACGGAGTTGGTGAAGGAGCAGAGGCAAGGAAGTGCCAAGCAGTGGAAAAGAGAAACCCGAGAGGGGCCTCTCAGGGCCTGCCCCTCTGCTCCAGGCTTTACTCTGAAGGAGAAATCTGGCGTAAGGTCTAGGGACAGAGCAGCTGTCTTCCTCCAGCTGACCAGGTCTGTGTGTTGCAGGTGGGACTTGGGAAGAACAAGTGCCTGTATGCCCTGGAGGAGGGGGTAGTCCGCTACACAAAAGACGTCTACGTGCCCAATCCCAAAAACTCGGAGGCTGTGAGTCTGATCACTAGTCTGCCCAAGGGTGCTGTGCTCTACAAGACTTTTGTCCACGTGGTTCCTGCCAAACCTGAGGGAACCTTCAAACTAGTAGACATGCTTTGAAGTCCTGTTGAGACCACTGGATGGAGATGGAACCCAGGTCACAGGATCAAGTGATGATGGAAGTCAAGGATCAGGGTGAGGACAAGATCTCCACAGAAGAGGCTGGAGAGATGGCTCAGAGGTTAAGTGCACTGACTGATCTTCCAGAGGTCCTGAGTTCAATTCCCAACAACCACATGGTGGCTCACAACCATCTGTAATGGGATCCCTCTTCTTGTGTGTCTGAAGACAGTGACAGTGTACTCATATACATAAAATAAATAAATACTTTTTTAAAGAGAGAGAGAGAGAGAGAGAGAGAGAGTATGTGTGTGTGTGTGTGTGTGAGGGGGGGGGGGACAGTACACAGGTGGCTGCTTCCTGAGGGGTAAGCAAGCCATGGTGGGGTAAAAGTGCAGCAGTGTCCTTGAGGGCTCATAGCTTGGTGGCAGTTGAAAGAAGTAGAGGGCAAAGGTTTTAGCCCTTTCCTCTCCTCTAACCCCATGCGCACACACACCCTTTGCACTGCTCTTCAGAGTCACCCATTGCCTGTCACTTTTCGGCTTTTCTGGCCTGGGGTCTGCCCACAGAGGCAAAGTGGGACTTTCCAATATCCAGGGGCTTTGTAGCCTTTTCCTTGTCCTGCCCAAGGGCACTGAACAGACACCTCATAAGAGTTATATGGGAAAAGCTGAGTTCTGCAGGGCACCCAAGGCTTAGAGGACTGGATAGTTGAGGGGCCCAAGCACTATGCAGTCAGCTGGGAAAATCTGCCCCAGTTGTTTTGACCAACAGTTGAGCACACAAGCCCAACAAGGGTTTCCTGGTGGGTCCTGGGCAGCCTCATACAGGCTACCTCTCTGGGGACACCATTATGACCAAGAAAAGTAGAGAGAGCAAGGAAGTCATGCACTACTGCTACCCAGCTTCCCTTGCTCTTACTGATGAGTCTATGGCCCAGGGTACCATGCTCTTGTTTCTACAAGCTTCTGACATCTTCCCCTCCACTGTCATCAGACCGCTTGCCTGGCTGCAGGATGCTAGCACATACTTCATCCCCCACTTAGAGGAGGCAGTACAGGATTCTCATTTACATGTCTGCTCCTTTCCCTGGATGAACCTCTGTAGGTGGCCCATGGTACAGAGATAGGGAGGAGGCAAGCCTTAGGACCCAAGGCAAGCCTGGATATAGGGTTAGCCTGGGATACAGGGTTAGCCTATAAGGAAGTAGAGGCCTAACACTTCATCCCAGTATCCATCTGCTCACTCCTGCTCTAACAGGCCCTCAGCATGTCTGGGAAGCACTTAGGTGAGGAAGAGAGTGCGTTCCTTTCTGACCACTGGCTCCATGTGCCCGACAGCTCTGATGGCCTTTGGAGGGTCAGTCTGAACAGCATTTTCTGTCCTCACCCCTCCATCCCCTGTCTGGTGCCAAGTTGAGAGCCTAGGGCTGCAGCTCAATTTTATTTTGCTTCCTACATAGCTGCTGTGTGGTGCCTGTCCCTGAGGAGAGGTCTGGCAGTGCTGGAGTTGCCCCCTCCTGTCCACAGAAACTTGCTCTGGCTTTCCTCCCTGGAGCTGGAGAACTAGGAAGAGACCTTTGTCTTCACCGAGGGTTCTTGGCAGTGTTTACCAACGGTGAGGGAGGGGCCTGGCCAAGATGCTGCAGATACTTCCTATTGCTGCTCTGAGCTAAGGGAACCTGGGCTCAGCAGATCTCAAAGGCTCCTTCCCTAAGGAACAGTTGTCTCTGTTAGGCCTGAAGATGGGGCATTTGGTCAGCAACTGTGCACAAAAAACTGAGAGCAGCTGTAGCTCCAATGCTGGGAGCTAGAGAGAGAGGCTCCCTGAGGTTTTCAGACTTTCAAGACTCCAAGCTCTAGGTTCAATAAGAGATCTTGGCTCAAAGGATAAGGCAGAAATGGATAGAGTGGGATCCTGACATTGTCCTCTGGCCTCTGCATGTGTGCACACTGGTGTGCACTCCCCCAACACATACATTAGATACGCACACTAAGAAACAAAGTCCAGTACTCAGAACCCCTGTGCTGTGGGCTGGGTAACTGTCCTGAGTGTGGCCTCTAGGATGCAGTCTGCCTTGATAGCTTGATTTACTGCCTGTAGCTCCTCTGTTGACTCCAGTTGGTAATTTTCTGTACGTGACGTAAGAGTTGATATTGGTAAATTAAAACAAAATGCTGGTGGTGAGGCACACCTTTAATCCCAGCAGTTGGGAGGCAGAGGCAGTCAGATCTCCTAAGTTTGAGGTCAACCTGGTCTACAGAGTGAGTTCCAGGACAGCCAGGGCTACACAGAAACTGTCTCAAACAAACAAACAAACAACCCACTCTCACCACATGGAGAGCTAGCATCAAATATTCATTGAAGTGGGGGTCAGAGAAAGCAAGCATTTTCTCTGGACAAAACACCACTTTCTGTGTGTTCCTTCCCTTAGCACTTCCTGACTGGCCAGCCACACCCTGTGAGAACAGCAGAGTGCAGTTACAGAATGGCCCTACCGCTTCTCCCACCATCAGGAGCTCTGACCCTAGGGCTCACTTCCCAGCTCTCAGTCTGGACTTGGCTACCTGAAGATTGGCAGTCTCAACCTCCAAGGCTGCATACCACCCACCCTGTGTGTTAGTCAGGAGCTCCCTCCCGGCTACTGGGAAAACGGGGCAGCTTGGGCAGCAGTCAGCCAACTTACTCCCTGAGCTAAACTGAGCTTTGCCTGGTGTGCCAGCTGATGACGTGATGTTAGAGGTCCAGAAACCTTCATCCCCACTCTCACATTATGTGGCATAAAGAACTAGTACTGAGTCTTTACAACAGGAGGAGAATCAGATGGGAAGGCAGAGAGCTTGAGAAAGGTAAAGCAGGCAAGTAACTTGGACACCCTTCACTCTGGTTCTAGGGCACTGGTTCAGTCCCTGCCTCTGGCCATAAAGAGAAGGCTGCAGAACTAACCGGTAGGCCATAACCACAACCTCTATTTTCGAGCAAGCTACAAAGGCAAGGCTTAGGTACCAAGAAAGATGTATGTAGCCTTGGGGATGAGCCTCGATAATGCCTAGGGCCCCTAAGCTATCATTTACTGCAGTCTGGCCCCATGGTGGCGGTAGAGTGCCAGGTGGGGCTTTTTAGAACTAACCACTACTAATGCTGGCCTGCTGGGTAGCAACGAGGATTCCAAGCCTCCCAGGTCCCATTTTCCCCACAGAAAGAAGGTTGCACTGCAAAGCTGCCTGGCTTCTGGTTGGATTTTCAACAGTTCCTGCTACAGGGACTGTTACTGTTTCAAGCCTATCAGAACCAGCTGACTTCTAAAAATCCAGGGGTCAGCCACAGCTGCCTCACATACAGTAGAAAACATGGACCTCAGTTTGCTGCCTAGTTTGTCAACTAGATACAAGTCGGGATCATCTGGGAAGGTACCTCAGTTGAGAAAATGCCTCCATTAATGGTTGTGGTGGGAGGGTCCCACATGAGCCTGGGGAATAAGCCAAAAAGCATCAACCAGGGCTTGTGTTTCTTGCCTGTCTCCCAAGTCCCTACACTGGCTTCCCTTTATTATGGGCTATAGGCTGTAAGATGAAGTAAACCCTTTCCTGTGCGTGCTTTTAGTCATGGTCTTTATCAGAGCAATAGAATGCAAACAAGGACACCCAGCTTGGAGAGATAGAGATCTATTTCCTCTGTTGCATATTTCAGACTTCACACGGAGTTTCAGGCACAACGCGACTCTTCGGAGCGCTCGGACAGTCTTCCTGTGCTGCTAGTGGGGAGACTTCATGGATCTCAGCAGGCCCTGATGTCGTGCGTTTCCTAGGAAATCCTGAGAGCCAGCCCCACCACTGCTCTAGGACTCCCTGGCTACCAGAGAGGCCGTCTCACTAAAGTCCAGCTCCACAGTAGCCCCCTAAATCACCTGTCCTCCAGGCCTCAGAGCCTGGGGGGCACCTGGGCCTCTTAAGAGCTTCAGCTGTGAGCAACTCAGGCCCAAGCTGGGGGTGGAGGCTCTGGAGGGTGAGGCAGACCATGCCTCCCCAGGGCAGATGCAGATATGCTCTGAGGTGCTCCCCATGGCCATGGCCCATATTCTGGGGCTGCTCTGAGCCCTATTGCACATCTTCCTCCCTCTGCCACTCATTTTAATTATTAAAAAAGTATAAACTATCGAGGAGCAGAGGAAGCGCCTCCTCATGGTTCGAGTGGACTGCTGGTCTCTTGCAGAGCCATTAGCAGTAGGGAGTACTGCACCCACCTTCCCTGCCCTCAGTGTAGGTTCCTGATGGCTCAAATGGGCATACCGCCTGGGCCTCTGGTTTTTGTCTGTGGGAGAGATGCCCCTCCATTGTCTGTAAGGTGCAATTCCCCGGTTCCTCCGGGTTGTGCTGGCTGGGGTCCTGCTACCTGAGTCGCCCATCAGCTTTGACAGGCCCCAGCTCTGACTTGGGGTCAGGAGACAGAGAGCTCCAGGTGGTCAGTCTGCAGAGCTCCAGGGAGGGACAAGCAGAAGGCCCTATGGTACACAATCCTGCAACAGACCAGAAACTGCTCAGTTCTCCATCTGTCCAGGCCTCAAGTGCAGGACCCGTGAGTTCTGTGTGCCTCCGGGCAGCCTCCTCCAGGGCCTCTGGCTGAGGCAGGTTCAGGATGCCACTTAGGCCCTGGAAACTCTGCTCCATGTATTCGTTGTGGGGTGGTCCCGCATGCAGCCAGCTGGCATCATCTGGGGGTACAGAACAAGCAGTTAAGCATGTCCCGCAGTCCCATGGGGACCAGCCCACACCCTAACCTTACCATGGGGTCTCATCTTACAGGGTGGACTATGGCTAATCCAAGGAATTTTCTGGGCCTATAAAATCACCGTTGTATAAAACCCAAGTGGTAGCTGACATGGTGACTCACACCTGTAACTCTAAGAAACAGGAGATGGTGGCAAGAGGACTGCCAAGAGCTCAAAGCCAGAATGGGCTATCCAGTGAGTTCCAGGTGGGTAGCCTGGGCTCCACTGTAAGACAGAGTCTCAGTAAATAAGTAAGCAAAATTAGAAAGTATAATTCCTAAATTCCCAACTTTAGGATTTTTTTTTAGGTTGAGGTCAGAACCAGGCTAAATCTCCAGCCCCCAACCTTTGAATTATGGTGAACAAGGTACTTTAGAAAGTAAGGTACCCTCTGGCTATGTCATCCATACCTCTTGACCTCCTGACAGCTCCCAGACCTTTTGGCAGCCTGTTCTCTACATTGGGCTGGCCAGCTCCACTAGATCCTTGTAGAAATATGCCAA